GAGCGAAGACGGCGCTTCCCAAGAGACATGGATAAGTCATCCATATTAAGAAAGAAGTTGCAACATATTGATATGCTTTGTATCTCTTAGAGCTCAAATCCTCTAGTTGGAGCATGTTGGGTAAACAAAAGTCGCGACTGCTGGGCATTCATTCATTGGCTCGGCTTTTGCCGAATAAGTCTTGGCATTATTTACGAATATTCGCGAATAATACGAATAAAACGTCTCGAAATTTAGTCGAATACGAATAATCGTTCCCAGGGAAAAGTCGAATACGAATAGCCAAAATCCTTATTCGTGTCCAGCCCTATTCCCAGGTCACATTGCTGACCGTCCACGTTTCTGGGCGTCTTTTTGCTTTGGTTGGTCTCGCGGTCCTTGCCATACAATCCTGTACCGGTACCTTATCACCAATACACCGTCGATCCCTCCACGTCAGGACACCCCCCTCGATCGAAAACACGCGGTGCATCTCGATCGGAGGGCCCGGAAATCGGCTCCGGATTGGTGGACCCATGCCGTGGTAGGCTGCCAGTCACGGTATTGTCCACATCCCGATTTCATCTTGGCTGCTATCACGATCGAAACAGGCGTGCCCAGCCCCAATTTAGATCGAGGGCTATTGGCTCTACGGGTCCATGACGTGACACCCTCAGAATGAATGCGAGTGGCTACTTCCGTCAAAACTACAGCACCGGCGGCCTTCGCCACTTGCATGAGCAATCCGGCGGAGATGATTCAGGCGTTACCGGAAGTTTGCTGGGAGGCGTTGCTGCCGGTGCTGTCCCACTCTCCACAGACATGCCCGCTGGGCAGTCGCTGGATGAAATCGTCAGTCAGAATGCGAAGGAGATGCGCAGGAAGAGCGTGCCCATGCACTACGGCGCCACCCGCGGTGGGTTAGATGCAGACATACGACGCGTTTCGATGATGGAGTTCAGTGGGCAGTTGAATGGTGGCTCCTTGGACCACTTCCAGTTTGATCCGGCTTCGGTACCGAACATAGACTCCATCACTACTTCTGGAGAGCCGGTCACGACGGGCCCCGATTCCGGGACTGGGGTTGAGCCATCCGATGCAACGAATATGTCAGTTAACACTCAATTCCGTGGCCTCGAGTCAGACTTTGCACCCCTGGTGACGACTGGTTCGGCCTACGAATCCTCAGTCGATCCCGATGGAAACCTCGATGTCGATATGAACAGCCCTTTCGATCCTTCGATGAGCATGGATTTCGGAGACCCGTCCCTTATGTCCATGGTCGGTACAGATGTGAACATGTTTGGCAGCAACCAGTTTGAATCTTCCATGATGGGTTCGCAGATGGAACAAAGCTTCGGTGGGGGCTTCCAGACAACTTCCCAGAATCCATTGTTGCTGCCAGGGCAAGAGGCTCCGATGTCTCAATCTCAGGAGGCGCATGGCTCAAGTCTGGCCCCACCACAACATATAGTTAACTCACAGATGCTCACTATAAATGAGCAGCGGGAGACGGGACAGACGTCTCTTCCAAACTCTACAGCTACTGTTCATCCCACAGAGAGCCCTGAGCGTGCCTCCACCGACACCACCAATGCTGCGGAGTCGAACCGCTTCCTTTGGCCAGTGCCACCAGGAGGATTCCCCTCTACGATGCACGGAAGACCGCATATGGAATCGCAGTTCAAAAACATATATTCCCCGTCTGGTTTTGACATGGTCGGCGTCCTGACGCGAGTCGCCACTCGCCTGAATCCGGAGATCAATATTGGCTCCGTAGACTTATCCTGTGCATTTGTAGTCTGCGATGCCACCGCGGACGATCATCCCATCGTTTATTGCTCCGAAAACTTCGAACGGTTGACCGGATACACGAAGCACATGATCCTCGGGAGGAATTGTCGGTTTCTGCAGTCCCCCGAGGGGAGAGTTGAGGCCGGAGTCAAGCGGAAATATGTAGACGACGACGCAGTGTTGTATCTAAAGAACATGCTCAGCATGCGGCGCGAGGCGCAAATCAGTCTCATCAACTATCGCCGAGGCGGTCAACCATTCATGAACCTTCTTACCATGATCCCTATTAGCTGGGAGACTCCAGAAATTAAGTTTTTCGTAGGATTCCAAGTGGATCTCGTCGAAACCCCCAATTCCCTCACTAGCAAAAATCCAGGTATGTACAAACCAAATCGCGAGTTCCGCTTGACTAACACGGCCAGATGGGTCGTATACGATCAACTATCAGCGAGGGGTAACTCTTCCTCGCTATACTTTGCAATCACCCGCGCAACCTCAGCCGCCGGAATTAGGCCAGACCGTTACTCGAGATGATGTTTCAACGGTGCTCACTACAATCGGGACCGGGGAATCGGAGCTCTCGAGGAGGATTTGGGATAAAGTTCTGTTGGAGAATACGGACGACGTTGTCCACGTGCTGTCTCTTAAGGGCTTGTTTCTCTATCTCTCCCCTGCTTGCCAACGGGTCCTCGAATATGAACCAAGGGAACTCGTTGGTACTGCTTTGTCCTCCGTTTGTCACCCAAGCGACATTGTCCCGGTAACGCGGGATCTTAAAGACACGGCTGGCGGGGCCGCAGTTAATGTCGTCTTCCGCATTCGCCGGAAACATAAGGGGTATATGTGGTTCGAGTCGCATGGGGCGCTCCATACGGAGCAAGGCAAAGGCCGCAAGTGCATTATTTTAGTAGGGCGAGAACGGCAGGTGTATACCGTCAGCAAGAATGAAATCTTGGCCTCGGGCGGGATCGGTGATAACGAGTTGTGGAGCAAGATGTCGACTGCAGGAATGTTCCTCTTCGTTTCCTCGAATGTTCGTCAGTTACTGGATCGACAACCGGACGATTTGATCGGATCGAGTATCCAAGCGTTAATGAGACCAGATTCCAAGGCTGAGTTTGGCCGAATCCTCGAGAACGCCAGAACTGGAAAACGAGGATCCGTAAAGCATGAGATGATGAACAAGAGGGGGCAAGTTCTACAAGCCTACACGACAATCTATCCAGGTGACGCCATGGAAGGACAGAAATCTACGTTCATCATTGCCCAAACACGGTTCATCAAGTTCAGTCGTGGAAACCAAAGTCTGCAAGCGGGCCTGACGAAAGACTCCTCCGTCTCTAATCCGAGTACTGTGCACTCCAACGTCTCCGATTCTACTACCGTCAAAGGGACCCAAACTTCACTATCTTCGATACCTGGTGGAGCATTCGCCACGAGCTCGGATGCGCTCATTACGTTTGCAGGACAACATGCATTGGCAATCGGACGGCAAGACGCCAAACTGGCGTCAGCGGAGAATTTGTTCGACGAACTCAAAACGACACGCTCATCGAGCTGGCAATACGAATTACGACAAATGGAAAAGCAGAATCGAGTTCTCGCGGAGGAAGTGCAAGGGTTGCAGGCGGCCAAGAAGAAGCGGAAAAGAAGAAAAGGTGCCGGCGAAATGCAGAAGGATTGTGCAAACTGTCATACGAAGGTGACGCCGGAGTGGAGACGAGGCCCGAGTGGCAATCGTGATCTTTGCAACAGCTGCGGATTGCGATGGGCGAAGCAGGTTCGTCCATCCTACCATCCACTCTCGAATCATGGCGACATGTAAGCTGACTCTCAGCCTCGGACAGAACGGACGCGTCTCGCCACGAGACACATCCCAACATTCTCCCACCGTCTCCGATGGCAAAGTCAGCAAATCACCGCAGTCACCCCGAGCCACGATCCATTCCCATTCTGTTCGACAGCCCATCGATGCGGTACCTGCACGACCGAAGGACCCCGCCTCCGCCACAGTCAGCGCAGTCAGTGCGGGGGAGAAGCGCACCACGCCTCAAGACGCTGCGGGCAGTCATGCTGCTAAAGTGAGCCGAATGGAGGTGAAGGCCAATCCCGGGGAAGGACTTGCTGGAGGAGTACCTGAGAAGATTGACGAAGGCGTCGAGCCCGACTGAAATTTCAGGCTAGGAGGTGGACATCAACGATCATGACGCGGAGAATCCGGTCAGCGTGGTATATCAAGAATTTCTCTTTTGTTTGCCTCCCTTGTCCTTTTTGCTCACTGCGCCAAGTGGTGCATATGATGGATGCGAGCCCAGTTCCAACAAACGATATGACAAGCGGCTTACTATCAGATACCCTTTGTTACGATTGCATCATAGACTCAGATAAGGCGAGGTGCAGAACATTGATGGCAGTTGCCTTCATCTTGTCACTTATGAAGCATATGGGAGCATATGGATGGTTTCTACTTTCTACCCTGGTTTGGAAAGGGGATAGATAGCGTGAGACATACACGAATGACGATGCCAACATGCGCCTATGAGGGCTGAGGCATACGGAATACATGAACACTACTGCATGCATCGACGAATACGAGCAGGAAGGTCCCCTAGCTTGAGTAGCCAGCTAGTGCTAATCTTGATACGCTGGACGAAAGTGGCCATCTTGCAACTGGATTTGAGATGAGAGGGCTGTAGCGGCTGGTGGCGCGAGCCCGTAGAACTGCAGTGAAACGCAAGGCGCTGCATGGAACACACAATTCTGTATAATCATTTATCAATAATCATAACTACAGAGGAATGTGGTAATACTGTCATACCGAAACGCTTGAGTGAGAGCAAGGGACGACTTGGAGAGTTACAACGCATGGAATTCGTACTATTTAGTATTTCATACATGATACTTGACCAGGTATGCATTAAAAGGATGCATTAAAAGGTCTCTTGTTTTCGACCTGGACACTAAGTAGGCAACGATACAAACACTCCCCTCCCTGTCTGCAACTCGACATAATCATGAATTGCAGTGGCACAGGGGACGGCAATTTCGGAAATACGAACCATCCTTCCGCCGCACGGGCACCTTGCGCTTGCGATAATGCGATTGCGCATTCGGACGTCTCAGTATCTGACAGGTGACAACCGCGACCCATTCTAGCATCTTCATCTGGACGCGTTGTTTTTCGCGGCGGGGGACACTGTCAATCGGTACCGAAGCTACTTACTGATATATGCTGTAAGCCTTGCGGACCTCGCCTGCTATACCTCAAGCGATATGGATGATTCCAATCGAATATCCATCACCGTATGCGGAGACGGTGGCACGGGTACGGAATGGAAATCCAAACTAGAGCCGGTATCGAGCAAATGCGCTGACATGAATTGGGTTCTCAGGAAAATCATCCATCACATTGAGATTGGTGCGGAGTCAATGGACCCATGAGTAAGTGGCGTCTACATTTGGTACACCGTTGGGTTGCACAATGACCGCAAAGACTGACCTGCTTTCTTGCTGCTCAGGTACGATCCTACGATAGGTACGCAAGATTTCCGTATAAAAACGATCGAGTCCTCTCGTCAGAAGCGCCGTGTACAGCATGCTCTCTGTCAGGGTCCAATACTGCAAGATCACTGACCAGGAACGTTTGTACCAGAGGATTCATATTCTGTCACTCGGACCATCGATGGCCAGACCTATCTCCTCATGCTCACCGACACCGCTGGCCAGGAGGAATATCGAGGGTTGTGGGCCGCTTCGAACCTCCGCTCCGATGCCTTCCTCCTCGTCTACGACATCACCAATGCCGCCTCCCTCGATGCCCTGGACTATTTTACCGAGATGATCGAGATGGAAACCGAACAGCGGATCGATACAGGCGGTATCCCTCCCGTCACGATCGTAGCAGGGAACAAATGCGATTTGCAAAGTCAGCGGCAGGTCCGGAGCCAACAAGGCCTAGAGTGGGCGCGAAAGAGAAGATGCGGGTTCATGGAGACAAGTGCAAGGGAGATGGTGAATATCGAGGAGACGTTTGCGCGTACGTGGTGGTTGCGTTTTCGCACTGTCCAGCGCCATCGGAGAATGATACTGACCGGAAGTAGTCCTTGTCCGCCGAGTTGTTGAAGCCCGGAAATTGCAACATTTTGGTGGTTATGACTCCGCTGCAGTCGCGCCAACGAACCGGTTAGGTCTGATGCCGTTGTCAGAAAAGCCTCGTGCGACGGTTGAGACGAAAGCCGTGGACAAGAACGAGGCTTCAGGCTTCTGGGGGCGGCTGAAATGCTGGGAACGAGACTGATCTGCTTTGTCGTGGAGCCAGGCGTATGAGTTTGAAGGATACCTTACCAGGCATTACCTATATGTGATTTATTTCCTTTCGCATATCGCAGCCTGTATCTTGTTATTTAGCAGCGCAGTCCGGATGAATAGGGAAGTTCAAGGATAACGGCACCGGCGTTCTCCTCGTTTGACTTGAACTTTATCTCGAGGCGTGGTTCTCCTACGGCGGAATAGACCTTCATGTACGGAATACGGAATACGGAATACGGAATACTCCAATCGAGAAAGACCATTCTACTTGCATGTGTCTTTGATGAATGCGACCCCGAAGCATTTAAGTTTGAGATAGGACTGTTCGTACGATACAGTACGCAACGGTAAGAGAATAGTAATAGGTCCCTGGAGGTGCCTTTACAGGCGCCTACCGCCCGTCCTGGGGAACGGCTTCCACAGTACGGGGGACCACCCCGCCTGTATGGCACGCTAACGGGCGGTCCCTGTTGAGCATCATGGGAGGCGGACCGATCATCTCCCATTCTGTGCCCATCCCATGCAGGTGTAAAGTACAGGGGTGTCCTGACGTCGTCCAAGACTTTTTGTGGCTTTCTCGAAGTCACGAATTTTTATTTACACGCACTTTGGAACTTCGACCTATGACAACTCATTAATCTCCAGTCGCTGTTCCACCTCGTTGCACGATGTCTAAAAATGCATATGACAGCGACTCGTCTGGTGATGACGAAAGCGTGTATGAGGAAACAAATGTTCTGCTTGGATATGCCTCGACAGAACCAGTCGACGATCCCATCAGCCACTTTGGTGGCATTCCCGTAGGTTGATGCCTCGGTGGTTCACGGTGTATACTGACGGGTGGGATAGACATGGATCAGCGAAGATGAGTCCCCTTCGGCGACCTTGGTGAAATGCAAAGTCTGCAATGATCTTATGGTGCTCCTCCTGCAACTGCACAGCGACATTCCAGAAAAGTTTCCTGGCCACGAACGGCGTCTATATGTCTTCACCTGCAAACGGAAAGCTTGTAGAAGAAAGATTGGGAGTGTTCGGGGTATACGAGCTACCAGAGTTGCAAAGGGGACCGCAGTTCGAAATGCAAAGCCTGCGAAGGTGGAGGGCACTCAGGAATCCGCTGTGGCCGCACCACGATCCAATCTGGGTGACGAGATATTCGGGGTGACCACGTCGCGAACAGCATCGCAGGCAGGAAACCCGTTCTCAACTACGAACAGCTCATCCGGACCGATTAATCCATTTTCATCGTCATCAACCTCTTCACTCGCCGCGAAATCTCCCCAGCCGCCTACTCCAGATCCATCAAGTCTGAATACCTCATTCGCGGATGTGTTGAGAATATCCACTCCCGAATCCACGTCCAATTCCACATCAGAACCGAAATCGAACATCGCATCGACTTACGAACCATGGCCACCACAATCGTCCTTTCTTGATCCATACCCCCAGTTCTACCTGGATGCAGACTACGAAACCCTTTCGCCTGAATCATCTCCAACTCTTCCTCCGAATATTTCCGCATCCATGGATATTGACACTACAGAATCTGCCGCTGGAGGTGCTGCAGACGACGCGGACTTGTTCGAGAGCTCGGTGGATAAGACTTTCCAAGCCTTTGCTCGGAGAATGGAACAGAACCCTGAGCAAGTTCTACGATATGAGTTCGGAGGTTCTCCCGTGCTATATCGGAAGAACGATGCAATAGGTCAAGTGTTTTCGTCCTCGCTATCTATCGGGGGTAAGGCCCAAGTCATTGGTCCTGAGGCGCCAGCAAGGGTCCCGAAATGCGAGAATTGCCAGAGCGCAAGGCTTTTCGAATGTCAGTTGACCCCGCATGCGATCACGGTGTTGGAGGAAAATGAAGAGGGCTTGGAAGGCATGGACTGGGGGAGTATCATAATGGTGGTGTGTAGTAAAGATTGCGTCCCACAGGGTATTGACGAGGGCAAGACCGGGTTTGTGGAGGAATGGATCGGAGTTCAGTGGGAGGAACTGCTTGAAAAGAGATGATGAAGCTTTATAGGTTCCGAAAAAGAATGAAACATGTCATTGAAGAGGGGGCGCCTGGCCTCTTAACGGCCCCTCATTTGATGTACCTAACCCATAACGCCCGCAATGCCGTCATGAACAGATGCATGTATCCACCCTTTCGGTTCTCATCCTTTAGGCGGGTTGCTCATAAGCTCTCCGCACCAATCGCCCGAATTCTAATACTGTTAGCAGGCTATTCATGGAACCATAAGAGTAAACTTACGTTCGAACTTCACATTCTCTCGCACCACTACTCCCTTCGCTTCGTTCTCCTTGTTCAAAGGAACTCTGACCTTGGCATCCTTGCCCTCTCCTTCGATGCCCCAACCGCATACTTCCTTGACAAATTTGTCGAACGGAGCGGCGCGAAGATTCAACCAGGATTCCAGCACACTTCTCGAGATTTGGCGCACAGACTGGCTAACGGCAACGGCAATTCTGACCCTCATGAGCTCCTCAAAGCCAGCAACATCAGCCACCAAGTCCGCATACAGATCGTCGCCATCGAGCGTTGACCAGAATTCCGAGTACTGTGCGCCTGCGAGTAGGCGGTGTAGGACGGTAAGCTTCTGCACCGCCTCATTGAATGGGGCCTCTCCAGCAACGGGGTTATTCGAAGCCGCGGCCGAGGCTTTTGAAGGAGGGAGGAGGATATGTGGTGGTAGGAGGGCAAGGCATAGGGAGAAATCCGGGGAGGGGAAAACGGTTAGCGACTTGAGGAGGATATTGGTGACGGCTTCATCTTTGAGTAGGTGGGGGTTGAATTGGTAGCTAGCGAAGAATGCAGGTCAGTCATGGAAATACCCATGTCTTTAGACGAAGGCGCAAAATAAATGGTTTGTCAGATAGAGCTAATAGGTGATATTCATAGGATGTGGTCCTCATGTAATAGAACGTATTGTGGTATGTTCGGAATCATCATGAAACATTGCTAAAGGAGAACAGAGACACATACAGTTTCAAGAGCGCCAAGTTGGCGTAGCAGTCGTATGTCTGATTTTCGCATTGCTGCATGACATATTCCTGGAATATCGTCGTCGTTTCCGGGTTATATCGCTCAAGGCTGTTCAGGATCTGCTGGATGTTCTCCGGTCGATCGGGCGCATAGTCGAATGGGACTCCCATCTTGGAATCAGTCGCATTACCTGGGAACTTGATGATGGTGTGTAAAAGTGTGCGAAAGTGTGCGAAAGTGGTGCGATTGGATTGTAGAGTCAAGCGTTGCGATGGATAATTTCTGGTCAGTTGGCTCGCGATATTCGCAGTTGGGAATTTTGTTTGGCGGTTTGGAGACCGCTTAAGTAATGGTCACGTGCGAGAGGCCACAAGGCCACTAAACTTTACCTCAGCAAGCTCAGGCTATTTGTGTTCGTGCCTGAGGCAACAAACCACACTATACCTAATCGGTAAATGCAGTTCTCGAACAAATAGCCTGAGGATCCTGTCAATGACGCTCACTGATAGATCGATAATTTGTATGTGTTTTTCGGGATTTTGGAAAATCTCACTTTTGCATATTCTTCAATAACAACACGATAACTCATTGGATTTGTCCTCAAATTCACTGGGCTCTGCAGCAGGGTTTACTTTATCTGGAAATTGAATCTTTTTCCACTCCCGATGCCTGAGTCTTGTGAAAAACTCTGATATGTAGGAAACGAGAGAGCATCAAAATCGTCAACCAACCACCTTTCCCACGCTTAAGACTAAAGGGGCATAAAGAGGGCCTAGAGAAATACTACCTAAGGTCAGTGGAATGTCTGCAGATACCATATAAAGCTTTCCTGTGTCGGGATTGACGCGTCCGTAGCATCATTGGGCACGTGTTATGGCCACATCCCCTATGCGGAACAAGGCGAGCATTAGAAGACGGCGACGAGAGACTACAGGCGATACAAGTTGTCTTATCCAAGATGCCAATAACACTACGAGTATGCTGGCCATACAGGATCTGGTTGAGAAGGCAAGACACTCACCTGAGGAAATTCAAAAAGGCATCATTCATGCAGGCTTGCAGCGCCATCTTTATCCATTCCAGCCCCGCCCGAAGCAGATAGATGCAATATGGCATTTAGTCTTCCAGAAGGAGGACCTCCTCCTCGCAGCCAAGACATCTTTCGGCAAGAGTATCATATTCCAGGCAGCGCCGTTGTTTTGTCGAGGTGGCATTGCCCTTATTATCATCCCTCTCGATCGAATCGGACAAGAGCAGTGTATCAAGATCCAGAGACTTCCTGGAGCGAGATCCCTGTTCATTAATGGTAGGACGGATAAGACTGATGCGTTGGCCCAAGAGATTAAGACGGGTATATATACTCATCTCCTCATGGGCCCAGAGATCGCAGCCGGTTGGTTTCGATCAATAGCAAGCAACCCGTCCTTTAAAAAGCGCGTCTCAGTCGTGGCTGTGGATGAACTCCATTTAGTGGCCCTGTGGGGAAGTGGTATCCGTCCACAGTATGCACAACTCTCTCTTCTACGTCGAAGACTAGGAGCGTATATCCCTTGGTTTGGATGTTCTGCCACGTTAGACCAAGCGACGTTGGATATAGCGAGGAAAATGACAGGCTTCCAAGCCAGCTGCGAGATTTTCCGAACCTCTATCGACAGGCCGGAGATTAAGCTGATCGTGGAGACTATCGAGCCGCGGACCACGAAAAGGTTCACTAGTCTCTTCTTCGTTCTACAGGACGCCATGACGAATGGGCTACCGACGCCTATGAAAATTCCGAAAACGATAATTTTCATAGATTCACGACGCGATATCCAAAAATGCGCAGAATGTTTGCGAGACTGGCTGTGCAGACTGTCGTCAGGGGCCATAAGACACCGCGACAGCAGAGAGATTATCCAGGTCTACCACTCACACACCACGCTGCATGATAAGGAGGCCCTGTACAGCGAGTTCTCCAAAGTGGATTCCAAGATTCGAATTATGGTCGCAACTGAGTCACTGGGAACGGGAGTGGACCTCTCGGATGTCATACGTGTCGTCCAATATGGATTCCCCTTGGAGCGGCTTTTAAGCGTTCTCATCCAACGGTTTGGTCGTGCAGCTAGAATGGCCAGCATCAAGGGGGAGGCTGTCTTCCTGGTGGAAAGCTGGGCTGTAGGCGACAGGGTTTCATCAACAAGAGCGGCGTTCTCCAGAAGCCGGAAGCAGTCGTCTTTAAGACAGCTTTCTTATACGAGCCAGCTAGCTCAGTCATGCCCCGTCGAGCCAGAAGCGGAGAGTGATGTTCCAGACCACGAAGCGGATGTTGCTGTAGACGCCATTGACTATGGCGTCCCAGAAGACCAGCGCAAACGCAAAACACAGAGAGAGCGCCGGACAGAGCTGTACAATGACTGCCCAGCACTATACAATTTTGTCAATCGATCCAATTGCCTACGCCGAATCCTGATGGATTGGCTGCAAGAGAGTTTGTCAGATCCCGCATCTAAGTTGCCTCCTCCTAGACCGGACGAATGTTGTAACGCCTGCAACCCTGGCCTGACGCGGACGGTGCCTTTCCCGTGGGACATTGCTCCCAGTCTTCGGAAACCCCACGCTGGGACAGCACCAGGTGCATTTTATGACCGCCTAGCCCTCTGGGGAGACAATGTTGTTAACTCGGCGCATCAGACGGCGAAGCCCGAACTTTCCGTGAAGCTATTTACTCAGAAGAGTGAGTGGATATCATTATCGACAGAATATGCCTACATCCATACAGCCGCTGAGTTGGAGGAGTTTGTGAAATCGACCTGGTTGAAAGACCATTCCGATGAACTCTTTAAGGAGTTTAATAATATCAAGTCCTACGTCGTGAGGAACTGGCCTGGAGGTAGCAGGCTAGAAACGTCACGGACGTCAGGAGCTGCAGGCCCAGTGCAGATTTCCCTTGATTATCAAGAAGTCTACAAGGGTCCAGAAGGGAGAGAGACTCACAAGGGGCAATCTTCAGTCGCGATTGAGCATCCCACTCAGCCAGAGAAACCTGTGTCCTTCTTGCGTAAGAGCGATGATTATATTTCCTCATTGGAGAAACTCATTGCTCGCGCGAGAGAGAATACAGCATTATGCTCTCCATGTTCACCTGACCGAGCGTTGTCAGAAAGACAGCCTATGATTATTGCCGAGCAACAGTTTCGACAAAGTTCGTTGCTCGAGAGACAAGGTCCCCCTGCCACGAAGCAGATGTCCCAACAAGGAGAGCCTCAGGAAAGAAGAGTATCGACCGAAGTAAAGACTCTAATAACTCCCGATCAAGGACGAAGAGCATCATTTTTGCGTGACCGAGAAGAGTACGCTTCCTCGCTAGAACGAATCACTGCCAACGCAAGAGAGATATCAGCCTCGTGCTCTCCTTATCTAGCTACCCAATCAGTGCCGATAGTGGTAGCAGATTCGTCATTAACATCCATTAGGTCGGTTACATCGACAAACGTAGATTGCTCCTCTGGCATATCTAGTGTTTTCGAAGACAGTGAGAATGGTTTGTCCAGCGTAAGTGGTGGCAATCAGTCGTCGAAACGTCCCGCACCGAGTGAAGGAGAAGGAGAAATGATAAAGCGGGTCGCTCTCAGCGTTTTAGACTCTAATATAAGGCGAAGTCCTCGCAGTGAAAAAGAGAAGAATAGGCGTTATTACCACGGAGAGCGGATATTATAGATGGACTACTCCGACTCGATATCCGAAGGTAAGCCCCATTCGTGGGCTTCATCTCTATCTTCCAAGGGCTGGTGACGTAGGTTAGCACAAGACTGAATACTCTACTAGAACAAAACATACTAGTATCGCCATCATGTCGTTATCGGGATCCAGATCAGCCGTCGCTCCTCCTGTCTCGTAAGGTGGCACTATTATTTGATCTTCGTCTCTCATGACCTTGGCGTTAAATATTTCTAGCTTCTTTGTCGCCACCCTTTCGAGCCCGATCGTATGTATGTCCGGCGCTTGATGTCTGGCTTTCCTACCGCCTCTGTAAAATTTAATCGAATCGCACGCCAATTCAAATGCCAGTATATGAATATCATCCACTGGAGAGGGCACGGAATGCTTGGAGCTTTCCTTCCGCGCAAATGCTTTCTCTATCGTCTTGCGTAGGAAAACAGTGTATTCTGCTGTTAACGAGGTAGTCTTAAACAGTGCATCTAATCCGAAAGTCGACGTTCGACGGGCCCAAAGCTCTCTTTTCAGCTCCAGGTTCAGATATTCAAGGCTACGATCGACTTCTTGCCAAGTGTCCCGACAGCCATGTGGATTAACGAGGCTATTCGAGAGTATTGCGCGCCGAAGCTCCTTATCACAAGCTTTGGTGCTGGTGAGCCGTTTTAGATAGAGCATTTCGAATGCGTAGTTTGATTGTCCAGTCCCCTCGAAGTAAAAGCAACAGACACCAATGACTCGGTCGATGAGTCCTATATCTCCGTTTTTGATGCCGTACTTCAAGGTCTTGTACACAACCATTTGTTGAAGGTATCGAGCATGACTGAGGAACTCCTCATCGACTGTATTGTTGGCATGCTTCTCCTTTGATGGTCGCCAGGCTTCCGGCCCAAATGCGGATCTGCGAACATCCTCCACTAGGTCCATGAAGCCTCTAGTATTCATGTTCTGAATTGCCTTGTCAACCTCCTCTTGATCGGAGGTATCGATGCCGTACTGCTCGAGGCGAGTATAAAGTAGTCCAATAACTCGAGCGTCGAAACTGTGAAGCACCAGCTCTTCTAGAACCTGAAAAGCTGCACGGTCCGCTGGAATATTCTTTCGTCCCCAGAAGTTGATGTTGTGATAGAGAGTTGAAGCGTCCTGTTGCTCCATGTTTCCGTAATGTGTCTTTTGCATGAGCCATAGAAAATTCATGCGCAGGTGAAAGAGAGCAGCGACTCCTATCAGCCAGTCTTTTCTATCATACGATATAGACGCGTCGACTTGCTCAGCCTGCATAGATCGGATGAGTGAAGAGGTTTTTTGATCGCCAAACGCCAAGAACAGACGGTTGTCGAATTCTTTACTATCTAGTTGGAATTGGCGCTTGTAGATGCTCTCTATAACCTCGTAGGAGCCATCTAGAGTACCTTCGTTGAAGAGAATCGGACCGAGCGTCTTGCTATCTGTCTTTCGAAGCTCAAGTAACTCGACGGTTGGCATAGCCGGGAATGGGATGTCGGAATTAGAGAAGATAGATTTGACCGATTTTGGATATGCTGTCCGAATCGCCTCCGCTATGAAGTAGCTGTCAATCTTGGAGGCAGTCTCGTCGTATATGGCGGCGCCGGAAGAGTAGAAAAGGTCCTCTATTGAAAGTGGAGTCTCACGGTGTAGCATCGATTTCCTTAATCCACCTGGAGGAATGTCGGCGCCTCTGAAAACTTTCCCCGTTGTTACCGAGCGCATTTCTGCATGGTTTGAAATGAGCTGGTGCTTAACACCTTCTCGATAGTCGAAATTATCGTAGACAACACAGGCGTTCAGCAGCTGGCCGTATCGACGGACCGTCCCCTACGTACGGTTAGTTGAAATCCATTCCGAGGGACGG